ATGTATATTTACGATGTGTATGTTTTTTTTATTTTTTTTTTTTTTATGTATGTTCACCGATTACGCCGAGACGGATGGACCAATCGGATCGAAACATTTTGCATCTGGTAGAGTATGTCTCCCGATTGGTCCCGTTAAAAAAAAATTTTGCAGTTTTTCATTCCGAACGCTTTTTATTGCAAAAAAACGTACTATTTCATATACACGCGGTATACGTACGTCGGTTACTTCGAGACGGATGGATCAATCGGAACGAAACCTTTTGCGTCTTATAGAGTATAACTCCCTAATAGTCCCATAAAAAAAATATTTTGCATTTTTTCATTCCTGCCAATTTTTATTGCAAGAAAACGTACGGCTTCATTTATATTTTTTTCGGCGTTTACTCTACAGGGAATATACCGATTGTGACTTTTCAACATTATCCGTGAAATGAAATGAAATGAAAAAAAAAAAAAAAAATAGACTTCGTCATTTTCTCTACCAGTTGGTCGCTAAAAGAAGGGTTGGCTTCCTTCTTCAGGTATCAGTCGCTGGAAGCTAATTTGGACTGTTTCTTTGCAAAAGTAACCGTCGTAATCTTTGCATTTCTGCGAATGCTCTTTCGTCATGCGGTTTAACGAGGACTTTGTTTGGTGCTAAATCAGATAGAGCTAAACCATCTAAACTTTTGACCCGACTAAGAGCGACGTAAATTTGGCCTTTTGCAAAATTCTTTTTGCCAAGATCAATTACAGCTTTGTTTAATGTAGTCCCTTGTAATTTATGCACCGTTACTGCCCAACTTAGAATAAGTGGTAACATTCTGCGCTCGACGTCCCCATAACCTTTCGTCGCCTGAAACGTTGCTACAACTGGAGATATTGGGATGTAACCGTCGATATCTTTAAATCTATTTGCAATGGAGTCGTCGTCTATAAGTACCGCGTTCGGCAACTCTCCCTGTTCTAGTTGATCTCTTCGAAGTGCCGGCTATGTAAATTTCTTCACTATTCTCATTGGGCAGTTTATCAAACCATCAGAAATTGATATATTTCGTCGCAGCATGATTCGCGATCCTTCAGTTAACGTTATTGTATGTAACAGTCCGCCACAATTATTTACGTTTGCAGGTATGATATTTTCTGGTGGCCTTTTTCCATATGTAGCTGCCTCACGGGATTCGTCTATTGCATCAATGACGTACATTCGATGTGATTTTGCTAATTCATCAGTCATTTTTGAATTATATTCATCCACTAATTTTATCGTTGGGAATATTCTTACTGCTGCACCATTCTCGAACTCTCCGGTTAGAGGAACTCTTCTTCGCTCGCATATTATTTCCAGTTGAGAAGTTGTCACTTCCCCAAACCGAAGGTTATTCAATAAATCGATGAAATCAACGTCATCTCTTTATCGCATATTAATGGTGAGTTCGCAGAATGAAAATTGATGCCATAAATTAATTTCTGCAGTACACCAATGTGGCTGTACAGAACACCAGTGTCCTTTTACTGGGGGCAACTGCATGATATCGCCAAAGAGAAGTACATTTACGCCACCAAATAGTTTATCATTTGTTTTGAATTCTTGCAATCTTAAATGAATTATTCGCAAATTCGCATAAGATACCATTGATATCTCGTCGATAATCAACCACCTTGTATGACGCCACTTTCGTCTCTCCTGTTCGAGCCTCTGTCCTGTCAGTCGTCGATAGGTCATTGCAGTACCTTTTTCAATAGGCAACGAGAACAAGGAATGCAGAGTTTTTCCGAATACTTGACGGGCAGCGACGCCAGTCAAAGAAGCTACTTCAATGAAAGATGGTTTTATCATCGTATCAACTGTAGAATTATAGCAGCGTTTAACGTGTTCAACAAGTAATTTTAAAATAAACGACTTGCCACTACCAGCTCCTCCGGTAATAAAAAGCAATATTTGTTCCGTATTTTCATCATCATTTTTTTTAATATCTTTCTCAATTACTGCGCAAACTGATTTTAATAAGTCTTTCTGTTAATATTAAGACTTCGAATACTATTAAGGAACACGTCTTCTGGCATTGCAATTGTTTCTTGCTGTTGAACTTCATATAAATCACCTTGATCATAATATATTGTTTCGTCGGCATGAATTCCGACTGGATCTCTTAAATGTTCATTAGTTTCTTCTTCATGTACAACATTCAAAGCAACAGCCTGGGCGAGCGCCGCTTCAATAATTTGCTCTGCGTGAGTAAATTGTTCGACGGTTGCGTTACCCAACATAGGTTTCAACTCGTGTTGCCGTCGAAGAAAACATTGTTCTGAAGATTCGTTTTCGGACATAAGTGTACTTTCATCACGAAATGGAATGTGACACACTATTAAGTTATAGAAGTATCCTTCTCTATCACTGTTCAGGGTATAATATCGGTGGCGGAGTACAGCTGGTTTATTTCTTATTCGCATTCGGGTATTGTCCTTCAATTTTATAAACTTCGATCTCGAAATTTCTTCATCGTCAGTTCTAAGTTCTGCGTCACCATCTTCTTCTGTCTATATTTCACTTGCAACTCTTTCATATCGGACAGCAAATTCGGCTAAACTCAAGTTTTCTAGGTTGTCTGGCCTCTTTACGTAACGATCGAATATGTTATTGAAAAATGATGTTCCATTTTCTTCAAATCGCAGAATTCTATATCTCTGCTCAGGCCAACAGCTATTTATAAATACAGCTTTTCGCGAGCTCATTTTAAGAGGCAGATGGCATAATCGATAAGCACATTCTATAGCATTGACCATACGTTGAGATAGAATTGCCATAGATACCGAAAATAATTGATTTCGGATGGTATCGTTTCGGCGTTTCGCTCGTAAAACGGCTTCTTTAATAATATTTCCTGTGTCCTGCGGCTCGCATTTACTTGCGTATTTAGCAATATAATATGCGACGGCTGTAACATTTCCGCATGGTTGAATATCCATGTTTGCTTTCCAAAGCTTTAAAAGATTTGGGTTGTAATTATTCACCATAACTTCATTTGTGGTTCTCTTAAGTACGAAGAAACGCCCGTTGTTGGCAAGTGTGTAATCTGGGTCTAAGCACATCGTTCTTTCACTTATCGGTCTGGGGAATCCAAATCGACAAGAACGATTATTACGATCTTTGTAACATGTATGAGAATGTTTATGAATTTGGACTTTTTGAACTATATCGTTCATATCGTGATTTTCGACTTCCAATGAACAAGATGCAATTTTCTCAATAACGTTTTGGCCTTCGTTGGTTAAGAAATCAGGTACGTTTGCACACCAAATAAGCATGTGCAAATGTGGACTTCCTCTATTTTGAAATTCAATTCTATACCAAAAGTCGGTAACAACGCCACCTAAGCAATGCGAGTTTTTTAAATACTGCATTAACGCGTTTACGCGTAACGTAAATTGTCTTGCGATAACTACCGGGTGTCTCTGAACCAACTGTAGTCGATCTGCATACGTTAGGTTTTCAAGTTCGGTCGTTGATTGACCTTCGGATAGTAGTAAGGCCTTCAACATATCTGGCCAGTTTAGATCATTACAAGAGAACGTAGCAAACCATGTGGGCGGTCCAAGACTTCGGACCATGGCGATTAATTCCGAACAGCATCGTTTCCAGTATGATACCGATCCTCTTATGTTTCTCATTATGAGATGTATGTTGTCTACTAATCCCTCTGGAGTATATTCACCTTGGCATATCCTACATCACACTGAAATGCTAGCTTTTGTGCGGTAATATTCAACCGCAGATAATGCGAAGAACAGATAATCTGTTCGTTGGAACCGTTTGTCATTGCTCAGAATACGTGCTTGGAAGTAATCTAATGGTGTTATTGGGATGTCACGATGCTCTCTAAATCCATTTTTTCCATCTGGAAACAGGAAGTACCAACACAGTTCTTCAATTCTTCTCTCCCTCTCTAGGTTCAAAGGAGGCGCTGTTTTTCTATGTATACTTGCCAGTTGTATCGGGTCATTTTCTGCGTTATTATTATTATTATTATTACTGATAGAGACGATATTATCGATGTTGGGAACACCTTCGTCAATTGAACGTAACATGCTTGTTTCGAAAATAATTCGTGTTGCGTCGGATTCATTTCGTGGGGTCACAACTGATAGATGTTGCATTCTTTCTACCAGTGAAGATCTATTTCTCTCGGATGCAATTGTTACAGGTGTTAATGAGTAGATATTTAATACATTACTGTTGCCATCTTTCGCATACAAATTACGACGCAAGGTGGCGTGTAAAACATCAATAGTAGTAAATTTCATACAGCATGAGGTGCCCCGTAACGGTGCTTTATATCCTTTTGGACCTCTTGCATGGGGATCAAACAACCAATAACAGGTGGTCTCCAACTGGTTGCTGCATGATACGGCTATTGATGTAAGATTCGCAGTAAGAATTCCGTACATATACCGTTGAAAAAATGTAATCAAACCATTTTTAAAATTTGGAAATCCATCATCACCGTTATCAATATCAATGTGACCATTTACCGACATTTCATAGTCAACGTTAATACTGACTCGCCTATTATTAAATGTTACATGTGGCAATAATTCAGTTGCGGCTAAATAGTCTACATTGATTTCGTTGGGGTTAGGAATACTTCGCGCTTCAATGCATTCACGATAATATTTATCTCCTACTATAATCACATAATCGACATCACTAGTACACCACGTACTAGGATCAAGGGAATGAAACGCAACACATGCAACTGCAGCTATGCCAGTACAGTGCTTACCACGAGATTCGATACTGAAGCGATCGCTAGCTTGATGCCTCGTAAAATAGCTACATTCTGACCAACGTCTACAAATCTACTGTTTGGTTCAGTATTTCTTTGTGCAATTTCAATTTCCTCTGTTACAATAGCCGGCTGTTCAGTGACATGAGCTATTTCGAAAATATTACTGGTAATGTTTGAAAAACATGGTTGTACGTCTTTGTACAAAGCATTATTTTGTAATAGCCATTGTAAGGCTACCCGAAGCTGTTCGACATCTATTTTATATTGTCGCTGTCGCTCCTTTTCGTAACTTTCCACTACAATCATTATACCGGTTTGGTTTAATTGGACTGGAAGTTGCTCGGCTACTTCGAACACATCGCGGGCAAATAGGACTACCTGACCTTTGTACCAATCCTGACTGAAGCGATTTTGAATTTTCATGATTTTAAGAAACGGCACTATTCTGCACAACATTTGTTTCTCGATTTCTGAGGTATAGACATTAGTTCCATTTTATTCCAAAATGCCTGTGATGGAACTTTGTGCTTTTTAAGATGATTTAGACAACGAGAACATGTTATCTTCTCTGATTCCATTAGATTTGCAGGAATTAGACCCGACAAAGGCTGCGTGTGTAAAGCGTAACGTTGCTGCGGATATAAAGTCTTGCAACACACTGCACACGGTACATCAGCAAAAATATTAATAGCCGATTCAAAGTAATCTTCCTGGAGGAAACGTTCTTTCCTTCGGTTTTTAGCTAGTTCGCGCATATCTCTTAAACGTGTGGTTCTTGATTCGGTACTTTCCCTTAAAAATACTTTACGATTACGATTTTTCATGAGCATTAGACGATGTGAACGTTCTTCAATACATTGATTGGATAAACGTCTGTGAATTAACCTCAGTCTACGTGATCGTTCCTGAGCAGATTCGTTCGCTAAGCGTCTGTGGATTAATCTCAATCTACGTGATCGTTCCTCAGCAGATTCGTTCGCTAAGCGTCTATGGATTAATCTCAATCTACGTGACCGTTCCTCAGCAGATTCGTTTGCTAGGCGCCTACTGATTAATCTAAGCCTATATGATCGTTCTTCGACAGATTCGTTCTTTAAACGATTATAAATTATGGTTAGGCGACGTTTTTTGTCCTCTATCGTTTTACGCAATAATTTTGAACGCATATATTCTCGCATTGCAGATAATCTCAAATGGCGTTCGTTAATAGTTTCATCACATCGTGTTTCTGTATTTCTTTTGCAATTTTTGTACAGACATAATTGCGTGGCGTCGTTTGATTCATTCGCACGATACTTCCTCATACGGGATGCATGTTTTGTAGGTCTACCCATCGCTTCAAGCAAACGTGGTTGGTTTGTTTTTTATTTATTTTAGAAACAATTGGTCGCTCCAAGCAGACGTGGTCGGTTTGTCATTTTTTACAAACAATTATTTGTCGCTCCAAGCAGACGTGGTCGGTTTGTTTTTTATTACAAACAATTATTGGTCGCTCCAAGCAGACGTGGTCGGTTTGTCTTTTTTTACAAACAATTATTTGTCGCTCCAAGCAAACGTGGTCAGTTTTGGATTTTAGAAACAATTGCCAGTTGCTCTAAGCAGATGTGGCCGGTTTTGGATTTTAGAAAATTCAATAATATTAGTTAAAAACGACTACCTTCGAGCAATTTTCAAATGATTCAATCAAGTAGCAATCAATTGAAGATGTAACGTTGCCAGGTATTCGTTTCAACTGAGTACGCGATCTGTCTATGAGCCCTAGCTATGTTTGTTTATGTTGTGAGGACTATCGCAATAATAGGCCAACTTATAGTAGATTTCCGTTACATTGAGTGATAAGTGGAAAATAATGAATTTTGCGGCAATAATAAGTTTTTCATTCATTGAATACGACGCGACGGTACGATGTCAGCGCGGAACATGAACGTTTTTCATACGTAAAGCAATGCGGTATAAGTACAAAACTCATGACAATGTTAAATGGATCTAATGTAACATAAATTCACAAATACTTGCAATTTAATTAAAATTTGCATTACTTAATATTCAATTACATTT